ACAACAACAATCGCAACAGCAACAGCAACAGCAACAGCAACAGCAACAATAACAGCAACAACAACAGCAACAGCAACAGCAACAGCAACAGCAACAGCAACAACAACAGCAACCACAACCGCAACAGCAGCAGCAGCAGCAACAACAACAGCAGCAGCAACAGCAACAGCAACAGCAACAGCAACAGCAACAGCAACAATCACAACAACAACGACACCAACAACAACAACAGCAAAAGCAACAACAACAACAACAACAACAACAACAACGACAACAACAACAACAACAACCACAACCGCAACAACAACAGCAGCCACACCAACAACAACAACAACAACAACAACAACAACAGCAGCAGCAGCAACAACAACAACAACAACAGCAACAACAACAACAACAGCAGCAGCAGCAACAACAACAACAACAACAACAACAACACCAACAACACCAACAACAACAACAACAACAACAAGAACAAGAACAACAACAACAACAACAACAACAACAACAACAACAACAACAACAACAACAACAACAACAACCAAAAGCCATCAACCAACAACCAACAACCAACAACCAACAACCGACAACCAACAACAACAACAACAACAACCACAACAACCACAACCACAACCACAACCACAACCACAACCACATCCACAACAGCAACAGCAACAGCAACAGCAAGAGCAACAGCAACAGCAACAGCAGCAACAACAACAATCGCAACAGCAAGAGCAAAAGCAACAGCAACAGCAACAGCAACAATAACAGCAACAACAACAGCAACAACAACAGCAACAGCAACAGCAACAGCAACAACAACAGCAACCATAACCGCAACAGCAGCGGCAGCAGCAACAACAACAACAGCAGCAACAGAAACAGCAACAGCAACAGCAACAGCAACAATCACGACAACAACGACACCAACAACAACAACAGCAACAGCAACAACAACAACAACAACAACAACAACAACAACAACCACAACCGCAACAACAACAGCAGCCACACCAACAACAACAACAACACCAACAACACCAACAACACCAACAACAACAACAACAACAACAACAACAACAACAACAACAACAACAACAACAGCAGCAGCAGCAACAACAACAACAGCAGCAGCAGCAACAACAACAACAACAACAACTACAACTACAACTACTACAACTACAACAACTACAACAACTACAAAAGCAACACCAAGACCAACAACACCATCAACAGCAACAGCAACAGCAACAATAACAGCAACAACAACAGCAACAACAACAGCAACAGCAACAGCAACAGCAACAGCAACAACAACAACAACAACATTACCACAACCACAACCACAACCACAACCACAACCACAACCACACCACCAACAACAACAACAACAACAACATCACAAACAACCACAACCACAGCCACAACAACAACAGCAGCAGCAGCAGCAGCAGCAGCAACACCAACACCATCAACATCAACACCAGCATCGGCATCAGCATCAGCATGAACACCAACATCAACATCAACATCAACATCAACAACAAGAACAAGAACAAGAACAAGAACAAGAATAATAACAATAACAATAACAAGAACAAGCACAAGCACAAGCACAATAACAAGACAAAGAACAAGAACAAGAACACGAACACAAACAAGAACAAGAACAAGCACAATAACAAGAGCAAGAACAAGAACAAGAACAAGAACAACAACAAGAAGAACAAGACAAGAACAAGAACAAGAACAAGAGCAAGAACAAGAACCAGAACAAGAACACAAACACAAACAAGAACAAGAACAAGACCAATAACAAGAACACGAACACGAACACGAACACGAACAAGAACAACAACAACAACAACAACAACAACAACAACAACAACAACAACAACAACAACAACAACAACAAGGCATCCGCGTCTTTCGCCGCCGTGGAAGGCGGCGCGTTTTCCAAGGTTCTGTGTTTCCAAAACGCAGAACTGTCAATCTGTTTCTTTTTTCCAAAAGTCCGGTTTTTGAAAAGGGTTATGGCTCAAAGCGCTTCTTTTCTCCGAGGCAGCAGCGTGTCACTTCGACAACAAGGCGTTTACCAAGCACTTCTCGCGCGTGAGCGGGTGTTCTTACCATTTGCCTGGCATGTGTGCAGTGCTGAGCGGGTGCGCGTGAACGGGTGTTCTTACCATTTGGCTGGCATGTGTGCAGTGCTGAGCGGGCGCGCGTGAGCGGGTGTTCTTACCATTTCGCTGGCATGTGTGCAGTGCTGAAAGGGTGGGTGTGAGCGGATGTTCTTACCATTTGGCTGGCACGTGTGCAGTGCTGAGCGGGCGCGCGTGGACGGATGTTCTTACCATTTGGCTGGCATGTGTGCAGTGCTGAGCGGGCGCGCGTGGACGGGTGTTCTTACTATTTGGCTGGCATGTGTGCAGTGCTGAGCGGGCGCGCGTGGACGGGTGTTCTTACCATTTGCCTGGCATGTGTGCAGTGCTGAGCGGGTGCGCGTGAGCGGGTGTTCTTACCATTTGGCTGGCACAGCGGGTTTGTGTTCTTACCATTTGCCTGGCATGTGTGCAGTGCTGAGCGGGCGCGCGTGAGCGGGTGTTCTTACCATTTGGCTGGCATGTGTGCAGTGCTGAGCGGGTGCGCGTGAGCGGATGTTCTTACCATTTGGCTGGGTGTGCAGTGCTGAGCGGTGCGCTTACCATTTGGCTGGCAGTGTTCAGTGCTGAGCGGGCGCGCTTGGACGGGTGTTCTTGCCATTTGGCTGGCATGTGTGCAGTGCTGAGCGGGCGCGCGTGGACGGGTGTTCTTACCATTTGCCTGGCATGTGTGCAGTGCTGAGCGGGTGCGCGTGAGCGGGTGTTCTTACCATTTGCCTGGCATGTGTGCATTGCTGAGCGGGTGCGCGGGAACGGGTGTTCTTACCATTTGGCTGGCATGTGTGCAGTGCTGAGCGGGTTCGCGTGAGCGGGTGTTCTTACCATTTGCCTGGCATGTCTGCAGTGCTGAGCGGGCGCGCGTGAGCGGGTGTTCTTACCTTTTGGTTGGCATGTCTGCAGTGCTGAGCGGGTGCGCGTAAGCGGGTGTTCTTACCATTTGCCTGGCATGTGTGCAGTGCTGAGCGGGTGCGCGTGAACGGGTGTTCTTACCATTTGGCTGGCATGTGTGCAGTGCTGAGCGGGTGCGCGTGAGCGGGTGTTCTTACCATTTGCCTGGCATGTGTGCAGTGCTGAGCGGGTGCGCGTGAACGGGTGTGCTTTCCAAAAATAGCAAACCTTCCACGGCGGCGAATGGCACGATTGGGAACAACAACAACAACAACAACAACAAGAACAATAACAAGAACAAGAACAAGAGCAAGAACAAGAACCAGAACAAGAACACAAACTCGAACAAGAACAATAACAAGAACAACAGCAGCAGCAACAACAACAACAACAATGACACATAGACTATCTGGATAGTCGGGCACCCGAAGTACATGTCACAAGGGGCGTGATGTCTTCAACAGAAACTACATTTCAAAGGGCCAATGGTTTGATGTCTAATGAGTAAATAATGATATAATACAAAGCTTTGAAACATATCAAAGCGGTGCATCCATCACATTGTCAAACATGCTTGTGAACTTTCCGCATTCATCATGAATGTCTCTCCTGAACTAATGTACAAAATCTATGGTCATAGTGCCCTCAACAGCCATCATTGTATGTACAGGTTACTAAAGATCCTGATAGGAAGGAGTACCATCCCCGTTCACCCCAAGTAAAGGATACTTTCACCATGGCACATATGTGAAATGTCAAAACTGATTAAGAAGCTTCGCTTGCCGACCAGGGGCAACAACTCACTTCCGCTGCATCTGAGTCTGGACGTGCGCCCCGCACACATCGGCCATGGAAGAGAGGATTGATGTGCGCTGTCCAAGGCACAAGGCGACCGGGCCACGAATTAAAAACTGGCGGCATCCAAATAAATAGCCCGGTTTCAAACCGGAGCATGAACTTTGGGCTATCCATTTCTACCAAAATCCTTGGACTAGAATTCATTGTTTGTGTTGTTTCTTTTGGCTGAGAACGTTTTTCATGGGGCCCGAGGTTGCAAGCCTTTAAGGACATGAGATCCAGGCTTGCCGGGTTCCATCGGACTGGGGTAAACCACGGTGTCAGCACTCCGTCAGGTTGGTTCCTGCTTGCGGAAGGTCCAAACCCAAGATGCAAGTCGAAGTTACGGAACCTAGAAACTAGGTCCTGATTTGAGAGGATAGAATAAGGGTACCCTTTTTTATGTAGTCTATTTTAGTAGGGGAACCCTTCCCCCAAAAGAGGGGTGAGAAAGGGCACCTAGCTGGGGCACCTAGTTTTGGGAGTAACAAAGCTCCTGAGGATGCCAGGACTTTCGACTCCGAGCGCCACATGCGGCCCGGTGCACTGGCCCAGAACGCTGTCTCGAAATTCAGCTTGGTGCCGACTACACAGACTTGCCAACGCGCTGGAGGCACCCCCGATTCGGGGAGCTTGATGTGGCCACTTGCTGTGTTCCCCATTCGGGGGTCCTCCACTTTTTGGGGCAAAGACAGAGAGATTCAGAGATCTGGAGTGCACAGTGGGTCACTGTGGAAGTCTGTGATGGTTCTGGAGGTCTGTTCAAACCCACCTTCGAAACCGGAAATCAGAGTTCGAGTAAAAAACCTGATTGTAGCTCCAGGTGTCGCCTCAACATAGGCGCATTTGATGCATTTCTGTAAGGGGCGTTCGAACCGACCTCGCTTGGGATTTCGGAATCCCCGCGATTGCGCCGCTGAGCTGCTTGAAAAGGTGGCAGACTCAGAGCGGCCTTGAGGCGATCCCCATGTGCGATGCGTTGCTCGAAAACAATATTAAAAAAGTGTGCCTGGAGTCTCCATGACCCTTTAAAAAGGGGTCCATGACCCCATTAGTTTGGGCAATGACCCCATTTTTTAAGGGTCTTGGAGACTGCAGGTGGTTGAAACAAGTCTGAGTGGTTCGTTGACCCTTGCAGGCCGTTGAACTTTGAGTGGGATACATGAACCCCTCTAAATCCCTCTCCAAACATATCCGAAGGTAGGGTAAATATGCCTGGGATCTTTGGAAAGTCGCGAGTCTTGGAGAAACCAGTCACTCCCGAAGCGAGAAAGTCCCGATCCGAAGCCGAGGCACGGATCCGATCCCAAGGTGTTTTCGGCACCATACCTGCGCGTTGCCATCGCTGCGGTCTTCGCATGTCGGGTAGATTTCATGGTCCATGACCATTTGGGCTCAATGGGAAACCCAGAGAGAAAACACACATTCAGGATGCCCTCAACAAAGATGTACTGCCATGACCGAACTCCTTTGAGGATTTATTATTGGCTTTTCCAGGGGTGCACTGACCAGTTGGCCCCGAAACAGCGTCGCAAACAAATATGCAAGAGATGCGCGTTCGGTTCTTCAGAAGGTGTGCGGAGCTTTTGGATAGTGCCCTTTAAACTTGGACATTTTCGTGAATTCCCTCTCTATCCAAAGGGAACCTGAAGATCTAGAAATTCATGCTGACCCATGCTCCCATGCTTGACACCACTGTTCAAGCATCAGATCATTTTCTCTTGATCAATCTTGCAATTGGTGACATTGCCGAAGCCAGGTTGCTGGCCACGCATGGGAACAATCTTGGGAGCTTTTTTAGACATCAGCCCATTTGCGGAAGTCGTCGAATGAGCAAACAACAGTTCATTCATTGCCATCACAGAACAAGTGTTGGCGGTGCAGGACAAACAAACTCCCACCAAGAAAATCAACACACAAGTACATGTAACACACACACACATGTTGAGCACTGGAAGATTCGCGTCATTTACAAATATGCGGGTAGTTGCACGTGCCCAGGGTGTGGGGGATCAACAAAAATGCACCCCTTTGCTTAAATGAAAACGTAAGGGCAGCGGAGATTGGGGAGGCCTAGATTTGCGCGTTTGTCTCTTTGGAAGAACCCAGGAGTATGTTCCCTCTGGTCACCCTATCGGGGACCCTCAGAAAGACTCACCCATACCCCCCGAAATAAAGAGCAATCTGCAGCTAATCTGCAAGTGATAGCAGGCGTGTCTTAAAATAGGGGTTGATTTGTTCAAGATAGATGGCTTAGCACCTTGCCTTTCAGGGAACCAAAGGATCCTCAAAGCAATGCCCACGTGTCCCTTGATCCATCTCTGGTTCGTGCCTTTGACCCTTCGGCCTCAGCTTGGAAATACCTTGAACAGGGACGGGGTCAGAAGAGGAGCCAACCCCAATTGCAAGAATCCAGATATATATATATATATATATTGTAACAGACAACAGTCGAGCACTGGTTTAGGCAAATGTCCAGCACAAAAATCCTGCAGCTCGGTTCTTGGATTAGCTTGAAGGGAAACAGATCGCTTCGACGTTTGCCCTGCCTTATGTACAAGAAGCCATCCGACGCTCTAAACTGGTCGTACAGCTGCGACATGGGCGTACTCGTCTTCGGCGTGATACCGTTGATGAAAAGGTAAATCCTCGGTGAACCGCAACCGCCTCGTTCACAGCTGCTTTGGGGCCCTGTGCCGCTGTCAAGAATTCTAACCGCCCATAACCTCTTCGACCCGTTTCAAGAACAACCAAGGGGCCTGCTGAAGGGGGTTTCGGGGAGAAGGCAGGGAACAACCAGGTTTTTCTCCTTGTCACCTGGGGCAAGTCGAAAGCCGAAATGATTTTCACTAAGGCCCGGCAGTCCGGCGTGAACTTTTTCTTGGAGGGAGGGGGCGGAGGACTTCAAGATGTTGGCTGTTGGTCCAGTCCCATGTACAACATTCCTATGACTTCTTGGATTCCATTGCGACAGCTGCACCCTCGCGAAGTCTAGGGAATTTGCCCGAATAGCTGGAAACCAGCTGGTGTCCTAACCCTGAAAGCCACGCCCTAGTATTTACTGCCGCTTCATAGCACATGCGAATTTACCCCATCGGTGCCTAGATTTCAAGGAGTGCAGATCGAAACGTCTGGTCAGGGTGTGCCCTTTCACTTTCAACAGAACATAAACACAAGGAGTCGCATCAGTGTAGACAGCCTCCCTCCCCGAAGCGGCCCCTTCAGGCCCTCATTGCCACAAGCCATGAGCAAAGTCATGATCGAGGTCGCGAAGAGTTTCGCAGCTGCCAAAGCAGATCGCACCGTAGAGCTTATCATGTGATCGGCGAGATGCAGCTTCGGCCCGACAATCTTCGGGCTGCTAGGTGACCTCCCACTGTCAGTCCGCCGGCGCTTGGAGCTGACTCTCTGACTCTCGGATTGTCCCTGTTCCAAGGGTCAAAGGACACCCAGTCCGTAGGCCCATGAGTCTGTGAATCCGCAAACCACGCGGCCACTGTTCGATGGGCTCAAACTCTCCCACGACAGAAAGTAAGCACGCCAGTGTTGGCTATTTGGCGGAGGTGCTTCCGTCACGTTGCCGAGGTGACAAATGATAGGGTGGTCGCACCTATTTCTGGCTGGGACTTACCCTTCAACTGCCCAGGATTTTTGACGGATTCGACATGAAATCACAAAATTCAGAAGCCCGCTGCCCACCCCACATGATACTGTAGGAAAGTGTCATCCTCTTGAACCCTCAAATATCCTTAGTCGTGGTTGCCGCAGAAATCTTAAAGAAGCCTTGTAGGACTATCCCAGCCCTGAGGGTGTTTTGACCACAGCCACATCGACTCCCTGAAGCCTCTCGATTCCCATCAACACACCCACACGCAGACACCCCCTTCTTACCTCCAGAACATGATCACTGCTCCCCACCTCGAAGCTCCTATGACGAAGGACCTAAGGCGATGATCGCGCCCTAGACATGGCTCAAACCTGGGGGTCATGAAAGGAACCCAATCAGCATTGGCACCTATGAACTAACCCAACCAGGCGAAAACATCGGGACCCCTGCTTAAAATGTCCGAGCCAAGTCGTTGACCATTGCACCTTGTTTACATGTTGCTCAACGGGTCCATCAGAGCGAATTACACCGGGTCACCAATTCACACATCAAACATATAACCACCAGGAGTGCGGGGAAAGGGGGCAAAAGAAAACTCCCTTTTTTGCGCGGGAGGGGGGGCTTCCCCTGGTTTGAAACACACCCCGGAATTGATTCCATGGAAAGAAGCAATTGGCAAACCCGAGGCTCTGTGAGGCGCCCTCGAAAAACGCGCGCTTTGCCGAGCATCGTTTGGTCCACACTCAGCTGCTCGGGGGTGGTGTCAGCGATTTGCTTGTGGACCTCGCGAAATGAAGCATCAGAAGCTCTGGTCCCCCGGGTAAACGGATTGGGAATCCGTTGCCCGGTGGGCTGTCCGGTAGCGAGAAACCCAAGATCTTCGAAGGCAAACCAAAGAAACAGAAGAGAAACCTGGGAGGACAGCCGCTGATTAAGAGGCCGTGAGTCGCCTTCCTTTTGCGCTCGGCCATGGAATTCACAATTCGGAGGTCCGCTAGAAGGAGACATAGCGGCAAAAAGATGAGAGAGAGAGAGAGAGAGAGAGAGAGAGAGGGAGAGAGGGAGAGAGAGAGAGAGAGAGAGAGAATGAGAGAATGAGAGAATATCTCCTGTTAGTTCCCAGCCCTCACCCGTCGCCTTGCGATCGAACCCCTGTGAAGCCCTCAGCAATACCCTTACTATCCCTTACTGTTACAGGAGGGGGGAAAAGAAAGTGCATAGTAAGATCGCAAGGATTCATCGCCGGGCAAACAGTTGAATGCCAAAGCTGGCAACACATTTGTTGTGCAAAAACCTGCAAGGGACACTCAACCCAAAAACCGGAACAACGTCTCCTCAGACTCAGAGCAGCCCTTCTGGTGTTCCACGAAGTCATGCGACTTCAACTTGATCAATTCTGCAAAGGGCTCCTTACCTCGAACCTCCTGAAGATTCAATGGAGTTCACCTTCGCATTGAGGAACCTTCGGTATAGCAATTTTCTCGTTACCAATCTGGCCACAAACACGTAGATAATCCAAGCAACTCGGTCTGAGGTGTTGTCTTCTTCCCAAAGGCTTCCCGGCCCCGGGAGAGGGTCGTCCGGGCTTTCGCCCGCATCGTGTCCCGAAATGTTGCACGGATCTTTGGGACATCTGGACCCGGGCAGTGGCCCTACCAAGTCGATTTCCCCAAAGTTAAAAGCTCAGATTCGTCCAGGTGACACGCTCAGGAGAATAGTGCAGAATGTCGAAGAGATTCTGGATATGTCGGCTCCAGTGCACCATCTGAAAAAAAAAAACATGCATAGTCGTCCATCCCTTCGCGGGCCTGGTCCGCTGGCAATTCATCCTACCACTGCTCTTCCGGTCGTCCGGTCTTCCAAACTTGTGGGTGGGTTCTGGTATGACACCCTGGGCAAATGAGCCTAAACCGATGATCAAGGAAAGCTTCAAGGAAACGCACAATTGATGGGTTCCCTTTTTTGGCAAAGACCCGAATGTGCCAGATCCAAAATAGAAGCAGTTTGAAAGAAGTACTTTGCAGCCACGCCCACACACCAACAATCATCTATCCATAGTTTTATCTGCTAACAGCCCAACTGGGCATCACTTCCCCAGGCAAATGACGGAACATGTTCTGGGTCCTCTTCAAGTTCACTTAGTCAAAGAAGTCCCTTCCAGGAGTCAGGAATTCATTGTGTGAATCGGGCGCACTCATTTGTCCACTGGCACTGAACATAGGCGATCACCTTTTTGGGACTATGACTCAAAGACCTGGGGTCAAAAAAAAAAGGACTGGAGCGGGAAAGGGTTGGCGGAATCCCCAAGTCTTCTGGAATCCCTGCGAAGCTCTCCATTCCCTTGCGACCAGTGCCGGCTTTGCTCTGAAAACTCGGAGATCTGGTCGGGCTGAACACCTCATCCAAGGAGCCATGTACTTGAACTCCCCGCAAAGCATTGTGCCATGCACCACAAACCTGCGCTGCTGCAGAACTCAACTCTCTAAATCCCTGAAAAACACAAAAACTCCAAGTCACCCTTCCAGGCAAATCAAAGTTGCACCCCCTAGTCTGTTCAGATCCCTCAGACATCTGGAGGCGTTCGCAACTGTTGATATGGATGCTGAACCTTGCCAAAAGAAAGGAATCACAAGCGGATGCACCATTTCACGGGCAATGTGGATCAGAGGAAACTTAGCAACAAACAATCCGAGTTACTGCTTGTCTCCAAGTTGCAAACGTACGTAGGGCAGTATACCGATGTCTGTATCTTAAAACTTAATATAAGGATGGGGAGCTAGGCCCCAGCATCAAGCCCGTGTCATGTGCCCGGGTTGCGCGGCAAAAGGGGGGCTCACCAAGGAAATCCGGAATAAACATAGCTATGGGCGAGACCAACGTCTGCAAACGCTAGGTTAATTCCATTTGCTTTGGGAAAACGGGAAAATGTAACGAGGCGTTGGGATAGGACCATTCAGCTCACATGCACATCATCCTTGGTCTTCCAAGGACCCGCAAACCAGGGTGTTTCTTGATTTTGATCTTGGCTCCAAATGGAAATTCGGCCCTAGGACCCTGCTTTTCCAGGGTCCTGGAAGATCAAGGTCGTAGTAAGATTTAGGCTCGCCTCTAGCTCTTATTCCCCCGGCCACCCTCCACGCTGTGCGCTTGGACGATTCTCAGGTCATAGGCGCGGATTTAAGCAAATATCACCGTAGCCAAGTGTAAACTAAAGCGCCATACCTCAAGAAATCTACCGGCACCTTTGCTCAGGCTAACATGGAAACTCCAAGGTCACTGAAACAATAACTGGAAATAGAGGGGTCCTGGGAGCTTCCATGGAAACTTGGGGAAAGTGACAGGGTATGTGTCAAATAGGGAGACACCTACTGAACCCCAAACTGGATACTGTACCCTCAACACACATCCAAAAGGCGCTGACCTCCTCTTGTCTCATCCGTGCGGTCCAAGGCACTTCTTCTTCGGCAACTCCTTGGATATCACTAGTGCTAAGGGAGTCCATCCCCTATTGATGTCCTGGGGACTTTTTTCTGGACATATGCAACTTTCAGGGTTGTTTGGCACACTTCCCGTAGAAAGTCATCATGGTAAATCTGACGCAAACTGCCAGGAAGTGATAGCTCGAAGCACTGGGCTCATGAATACATTCCTGCTGCTAGACTGTATCTGGGCACCCCGAAATTCCAGATTCTCGAATGACAGCAGGCTTCATTGGCTATCCAACAGGACACAGTTACGAAAATATGATCGATGGGACTTGTTCACTGCTTGAACACACCCGCATGTTCTACGAAAACAATGATGAGAACGTCCGCTGCGAACACTTGCATCACAACTCTCGCACAAACCTGCCTCTTGCTCCGGGACTGATGGACACTCAAAAAGGCAACTGGCAGTGCACGTCCCCCAGTCTTTCAAGTATCATGCTTCTCAAAAGCTGGCAACAACTTGAGGATCTTCAGTGGCTTCTGACGAACAGTGGGTGAGCGTATCGGGGACCAGTCTGTAGAAAAACTCAGTATCAGTGGACCCCCACACAAAAAAAAGAAAGAAAGACGAGGCCTTAATGCAACTTGCTTGGCTGTCAGCGGGGATTGAGAAATGTGGTGTGGAAGGGGAGAGGGGGCCCTTGTCGTTTACGGGGTTCTTGGGTGCGAGACACAATTGTCACATAATGAACCCAAGGCCCATTTGCGTAAGGCATACCGCCAGCATATAATATGTACTGGCCCTCTTAAAGATCTTCAGCAACTGTGGACAATAACCAACCAAATTGTGCTCAGAGAAAAAAGACAGTTTAGACATGCCCAGTGCAGTACTTGAATGCCATCTGTGGCAAGAAACGAGACTCCCTCCGCCGCGCTGTGTTGAGGTAAGGAAAATTGCGGATGGATGTGGTTTCCCGTAAATACCAAAAAGGCCTCTAAACATGTCTCAACAAACGGCATTGAACAAGGTGCTGTGCTAGTAGTAAGCATGAACCCGGGACGACGCGACAAGCAACCAAAGCGAGCCCAAAGACGTTACACTTGAGGCAAGTTGAACTCTTTGCAGCAAGGGGCAGGCAAAGTCGAGCGAGCTGACTTGTCGCAAATCACTGGGATACGATCTGGATACCTCAATGCGCGGGCAAAACACACCCAAGAGAACAAATCGCCGCGCAGTTGGCCTTAGGTCATACGTGTTCATAAATCAGATTTCTTCAGCCAACAGTTGCACACAGAACGGTAACAGCGAAAGGTCAAATGCATCAGATTCACAGAAAGTCCTTAAGTCTAGGAAACCGATTGGATGCGTGTTTTGTGTTCTTCCCCCGGTTGGTCCTTTTGTCATCTGTCGGTACTGTTTTAATATTCTACAGGGGTGGATCCACAAAAGCCACATCCAAACCGCTTTCTAGAGTAAACTCTAATCTCCGCAATAAACCAAGTTCTCCTAACGCTCGAATTCCGACAATACTGAACTATAATTGACTAGCACTAAACCAGCTCTTCACTACCAGAATGCCCCCCCAGCACGCTTTGCCCTCTTCATTCTTCGAACAGGTCGTCACGCCTAACGTGTTGAAATCGCTTCCTTACAAATGCGTCTGTTCCTTCGGTTGGTCTCCCTACATTTCAAGGGCACCCAGGTCTTGACGTCGAAGGAAAACAAAACAAAAAAACGAGGCCCCGTACCAAAAAACCCACAGGGGATGTGTTGTATTCAGGGGGGAGGCGGAAGGGATGATTGATCAAGGTGCTGAGCTTGGCGCATTTGTCGCAAGGGCAAAACAGCCAGGCAGGCAAGCACATTGGTTGTTCGAAGCTTTTCCGAGATAATACACAGACATATATATATATATTTTCGTAAACGTTGCGTTTTTTTTGGGGTGGGGGGGTGCGGGAGGGGGTTTGCAACATTGTTGAGCAGGAGCAGGGCCACACCGCGAATCACCAGCAAACATCATTCTGCGCTGTTTGTAGCTTTGGCAGCATCTAATTTTCATATTGGCAACGTCACAAGCGAAATAGTCCCTCCCTGTGACCCAAGGTGGCAACACAAACAATGTCACCACAATCGGGCTCTGTTGGTGAGGAACAAAAGAGTAGCGATCGAGATGGAGGTTGCCTTCCGCAGACATCCGACGATAAACTTTTAACGTGGAAGCACCCCTTGGTTGGCTGCCATTGTGGACTGCGTCTTCTGTGTGGGGTCATGCTATCAGCCAGGGGCAGACCCAAGCGAGTCGCCGCGAGGTGGCGTCGGCAGGGTGCCTTCTTATTTAGATGAGGCGTTGACTCTTAAAATCTGAGTGGAAAAACCACTCCTGGCCAAGCTCGTGGAAATGCGAACAAAACTGCTTCTAACAAAAGGCCCAGAGCCTTCTGGGAAGGCCATGCAAAATGTTTGTGTCTGCCCCCGGTGCGTTTTCTACGGGGAAAAAGGCAAATGTTGACCGTTGCTTACATAATGGTCATTAAGGATCCTTACTGCCAGTTGGATGGATCATCCCTGTAAACCCCCAAGCAAAGGATTTTTTGACCATGGCAACTGCATGTTTTGGATCGCAGGCCGTGCACACAAGAAACCTGCCATTGGGGATATTCATCATGATGTTGTGTTTTAGTTGTTTCGGCTTATGTATTACCGGGGAGCCTACGCTGCGGGTGTATTTGTGGCAGTGTTGCCTTCGCGAGGCTTCGTGACAAGCCGGTGGCTTCTTCGCAAAGTGGCTTCGCCTGTGTCACATCGCGGGGCCAAACGCTGTTCATGTGTCTCCTTCCCTCCACTTTTTGGTTTGGATAGGTGATTTGGTGGTGATGGGGTTTCCCCTTTGCCCCTACAAGAACCAGGGGTTCAAATCCGAATCCAAACCAATCCAAGCCACCAATTTTTGGGTACCTGATGAATGCGGCAACAGCCCCTGACAAACTGAAAGACGCTCGGCATGCGCTTTGCCAAGGCACTTCGATCTGATCTTATGCGCCTCGTCGTCGGCCTGACCAAATTCAAGGAAACCTGGATATGAAACGATATTATTTTGCTGGTCCAACTTGAGACCAATAACATTGCACAAGCCGGGCAATGCACCGAAACAAATGCAGCAGGAACATGGATCACCAAAGCATGCTGGATCACCAAACCACATCTGCAGGGGTCGGTCACACTGCGAACAGGCCACACACAACACGCACGAATGGATGGGACGACGGTGGCAACGGCGACCACCACAACGACACTCCCCCATTCTTTCCAGGGATCCTTCTTTCCAGAAAACCATCAGAACCCCAGAAAAACAGCTGGTTTTTGACAAGAACGATCTTGGACCCCCAAACGAGCACAAATTTGTGGCAAACCCTTCTTTCGAGCAGTTTCTGCTTATACGAGCACTTGTTCCTTTTTCGAGCACTTTTTAGGAAAAAGAAACAATTCGAGCAGAAATCAACTTCCATGGGATTTAGATGCTTTGGAGCGTGTGAGTTGTGCTGCCAGGGCCCACACCCTCCGCGTAGCAGGGGGTGGGGCAGGAAATTGCGCGAGCTGTGCTGTTCGGGCAACCAATGCATGTTTGGTGGAAGCCTAACAAACCTGCACATGCTTGACGCGTTTTGGCATTTTGGGGGCAGTTTGCAACCCGCAACCAAGCGCAATTCTAAAAGTGTCAGCGGGTCGTTGTCCGCGACCAAAAGCGCGCAAAGATGTCCAGGTGCTCGAAAATGAAGATGCGCTGTCCACTGTGCACCCAGGTGACATATTGAGGCACGCTTGATAAAATTGTGTGAGGTTTTGGCGCCTCCAACATGCAATGATGCGCAAGCAAGGGCGCTCACTCGAGCACTTATTTGGCCTCGAGCTCATTTTGCCTAAACGAGCGCTTTTGAGAGAAACGGGCATTTTTTCCCTCGGGCGGAAATTTGTGCTCGTTTGGGGGTCCAGGATGGTTGAAAAGAATGGGGAATGAACCCCTTCAGCCATGCGATGTTCGTCTCCCCAAGACCAAAAAACAGGAAACGTGCGTGTCCACCCCCCAGAAAAAAGTCAGGGTTTGGTTAGGGAGCCACAACAACTACCAACAACTCACAAGCAACAACCCCGCAAATCCCGCCTCTGCTCGGGGCGCTTTCTCCTCGCAAGCTTGCCTGCAGAGAGAAGCAAAGCAACGGGCGATATTCAACAGCTCACTTGGGTTCGGCAGGGCTCAGTGCATGTCCCCCTTAAACACGAGCCACACGAGCCCAAAGAAGGCGCACTTTGAACTGGCAACAAAGATGATGGTTGAAACCACCAAAAGAGTGAATACAGCATGACCTGCTAAAAGGAAGCCAGCCCCAAGTGGCTTGGGGCAGACAGCTACGCAAATCCGGATGAGGATGCACTCCCCTGTTGCTGCCACTTCGTTCCCCTAGCTCCCATGGTTCTCTGAAACCTGCGAGGAATTACCAGAGATGGCTTTAGCAGGCAACCCAATAGGCTAAGTCTTCGGGTTTCCTCGGGTTCCAAAAAAAACATCGGCTCATCATCGAGTTGGTCCTCGTTCAACTCTGGTTGACAAACTTGAACCTGGCTCCAAACTTGGGCACTGGCCTCGGTTGACATGTTGTTTGACAGCTCGAGAACGGCTTGTGTGATGCGCCAGACAAGCTCTGCTCTTAAGCCAGGCCAAAACACACCCCAAAGAGGAGCTAATGTCTTGGCAGAAGGAAGATCCTCTTGGCCCCAAAAAGTCTTGGGCAAGGTTGAGTGCCGCGGAGCCGCCGCATAGAGAGAGTCGACAGCAAGAGCTTTACGCTTCCAGTGGTACTTTCTCGCAAGAAAAGCAGAAACGGGGTCTGTGCCCAAATGGGGACCCTATGGGTGGGTTCTTCTGGTGTAGCCTAAAATTCATAACCCCCCTCAAAAGAAAAAAACGAACCACCCAGCCGGTTTGGTTTTTCCGCCTGCGCCAGTTCTGAAGCCCGACGCGGATGGGCGTGGGGACGGACGCGGAGGTCTCCAAGTGTCGGCAACCTGGCGTCTGACCCCGAGATAAACCATCCCACGGGTTGCGTTTCCTAGGGGACCAATGCCTGGGTTCATTCAACCACATTCCCTACTTCTCGCACCAGCAAGGTAGCAGGAAGCTTGCCAAGTGGCTTGGAGCCGAACCGGTGGTTTGTTGGGGTGTCCGCTTCGTAACCCACATAAACCAGGGCTTGAAATCCCACCACCAATCCAAACCACCATCTAAGGATTAGCTGAATGAGGCAACATTGAATGAGCGATAAAGACCTAAATGAATGAGTGCCTGACGAGATGTATGGGCAGAGCTTAAACTAAGCCCCAACCGCCAAAAGCTGGTTTCTGCATGTGAGCTTAAGGTTCATTTGAGGCACATAGTCCCCAAACAGACTTGGGCAGCCTCAATCAAACAAACAAAACAAGATCCAAATACCCAACCACCTCATCAAAATAGCCTCTACACTAGGTCTGGTGAATAATGACATGGAAACCAAATGGACCAACTGAAGCCCATACAACACCAACGGCCCATTTCGTGCCTCGGTCCACGGCACAGCCGAAGGCCTTCACCTGCCGGGTGTCCGTTACGTGGCAGCGGCTTGGGGCCGGCTTGGGCTGTCACAACCACCTGCGTGTGTCTTGTTTTAGGGACCCCTCCAAAATGGCTTCGGTGTTCCTTTTAGTTTCCCTTTAAAACCCCCCCAAAAAAGCAGGTACCCCCCAAAAGACAGACCCACCTGAGCCAACAAGGGCCGGGTATCAACATGTATTCAAGTCTACCTCCAAATGTGAAGGTGGCCAAGCAAGGTTTTGACCCGGGTCCTGCCACGGTCCTGGCTTCCCCCCTTTGCTATGGCTCCCCTATCCGAGAAGACGTGTGTCTCTCCCTCTCTCTCTCGATTTCCTTTTTGGAGGGTACCTTTGCCTTGTGGTTTTAAAGGCGAACCCAATGGAAAACCCTCTTCATCTTCATCATCTTCTTCTTCTCCTTTTTGGGGCGGGCCCCCCAATAAAGGACACACCCCTATGGCCCCAAATCAGATGAACCCTGAAGGATTTGACTCTGAGTGCCAAGCCCCTCGGTCCACTGCGCGGATTCCCTCGTCGATGGCCGAATCTGCCACGGTTAGATACCTAGGCGCAGCGGCTAAGCTCCGTCTCAAAGGCCGAACGACGAAGCCATATGGCTCTGGGTCAAAAATGGGGCAACCCCAAAATGGGTTGCCCTGGCACATGGAAACATGGCCTAAAACCTGCGGTCCCCTGTTGGCTTAATTTTGACCCATACCCATATGGAATCCTCAGCTCGTCTAGTCATGTACCTCACAAGATTGGTGCCCCATGAGTTTTCACCTGTAGGTGAGGCAATACAGCGGCTGCAATCACGAGTAAACGGCATTGCCCAGGTGCCAACCTACAGGATTGGACCATTGGCTAAAGGAGTTTATGTAAACCCCCCCAAAAACACTGCAATAGACCGTGGCTGCCTCAAGTTCTTGAAGGAAAATCGGTCCCCCAATGACACTTGATTGGTCAAAGGTACTTGGAGTGGATTGATATTGTCCAGCAGGTTGGGACACGTACGATTTCCGATTGAGAGTCTGCATGAGTGTTCCCGTTGCTTTCTAAATGTGTCTATCTTCTTCGACCCTGTAGAGATTGCGCGGGCAAATTATCAATACCACAGGAAGCCGAGAGGGGCCTTTGGGGCCTAAACCGCATACTTTGACGGCAAAGTTGACAAAGGACTTGCATTTACTGACGCCCTGGTTTCAGACCTATTGCATGACCGAACCAAGCACTCCTAAAAGAACATGGACTGCAGCATCTGTGTGTTTGTACATATATACATTATCCGCAAGCTCGCTGGAGCAAACAAAAGACTTGACTTGCCAAGCAGCAATGTAAAAAAGACTCTGCTTTTTGTTGCCGGTCAACTCAAAGGGCCCACGTCCTCCAAAATGTCACGCCGGGCAATTGGGGCAAGGCTGTGGGAAAGAAATTCAACGGGCTGTGGGAAGTGACCCCTTCTTGGATACGGCTTCCCAAAGACTAACCCGCCATAAAAAGGGGGACATTCCCATGTATCACAGAAGGGATACACCCCGAGTGATCAACCACAACCCTGTATTATTCAAGGAAACAGACTTTTGGCCCAAAAACCAGCTACCATCCCTCACATGAACATGTTGAAAGTGAGGGGAACCCCAGTGGAGAGGATAGAATAAGGGTACCAACTTTTTTCAGGACGTTTATTTTTTAGTAGGGGAACCCTCCCTCCAAAAAAGGGTAAAAGGGCACTACTGGGGGACCTAGAAGAAGACGCAAAAGAACCCAACGTGAGAGACCAAAGCCAGCCATCCGCAGGAGCTGCAACAAATCGAATCCAAACTCTGCCGGGCGGCGCCGTGCCCGCCTTTCTGGCTACTGAGCCGGTGCTATCCTCCCGGGTTGTGGCCTCGGCACCAAACGGAGAGAGGGGATCGAACCAGCTTGAGACATGTTCAGGCCACCTTGAGGTTGGTTTCTTGAGGAAAACCCTGCGAGATTTTCTGGGTCCCACTGGATTTTGAGGTGCAAGCACATGAGTCCAACTTGATTTTGAGACGCAAGCACGCGGTTTGTGTCTCGCTGTCCGGTCTGCTGCTCGTTTCTGTTTCTACTGACCCGTCAGTCACTCACTGGGCAGGCCCCGCATAGAGGGCCGCCGCTCCCAGGGCCACGCCCGACACGGGGCCCATGAGAAGTGTGCCTGGCTCTCGCAAAGCCACCGCGAGGTAGGCCTTGGCCCCTGGTCTCCGGTGGAACTCACATGGATACGCCCAACGTGCGGTCATCAGGTTCCAAGAAAAGAAGGGGGAAAAAAAATTGGAAAAGCTTGAACAAAGCAAGCCTTGCAAAAATGGGGAAGTACAGAACCATTCGCGCACATTCTTGGGCAATAGTGTGTGATACAAAATGGGGACGCCCAATGTGTGGTGAAACCTTTTGGTGTCATTTGAAAATCAGCCCCAAAACGTACCCTCAAAAGGGACATATACATTCGTGGAAAGAAACAGAACTATCTAATTTCCACTCATGACCATTTCCCTTACAGAAAGGGGAAAACAAACTTAAACAATGCAATCAGAAGTTATTCAGCCCTGAAAAGGCTAACTCAGCCAAATTCGTTTGTGGGATGCCTTACACGTATAGCATCAACCCTTTGTTGACTTGTCAAGGGGTGCCAGGAATCATGGCTGATTCCCTTAGGTGGTTTTACTTCTGCATTCCACCATACCTGACTTGCGGGCCCATTAGGGGGCTGCTTACAGGAGCGCCTCCTAGAAGACTGTTGGAGCATGGGCCAAACCCTGGAGTCGAAAGATGATCAAAACAAAGCTTAAGCGCCCATGGTACATCTTGAAGCTTTTGTTCCCTGTTTGAATGTTTGCGGAGGCCAAGCTATTGTTCTAGATGCTGAAGAAAAAAACATGGCGCGGATTGACGTTGGAAGGGGAGCAAACATGTGTTTTTTAGCAGTTAAGTGGGGATTTCCCACTAAACCACAACAAGCAAAAATGCAAAATGTTTCCCAACAACAACCATGTTGTTCTGTGTTTGAACCCACCACTCCCTCAAACTATAGCTCCAAGGCCACTGAGCTACCATGGGCAAGCAACTGGGACATCCAAGCAATCCGTTGAACGCCTTGTGCCCTTTGCCATTGCCGCCCTTTGTGTGAAGCCCGTTGCGCTCAAACATAAGTTTAACTCCCATGGGTTGAACTATGTTTCATTCTGAACCCCGAATAGTTTGCAGTTTGTTCGGGGCAGAGGCAACGAAGATACGAAACCTTCAGAAGCCCTCGGAAGCTCACTTGTAGACCTGGAAAAGACGGGGAGTCCCTTGAATTTGCTGCTCGCAGTTTTTAGAAACCAAGCCATCCCCGAGATCAAACGGAGAGATCCCTCCGGTTAAGATCACTTCGGGGGCCCGTGTTTCCAGCCGAGTTTGGAGCTCAAGCATCCGGCGAATTTCCTGGGAATCCTGGAACACTCCCACATCCACACAAGCCAGAATTGGCTGAGACCCTGTTGCCGTCACTGTTGGGTTCTAGAAAACTATTTTTGTCCTTTCTTCGTCGAGGACCATTTTTGATTGGCTTTCAAGTAAAGGAACACCAAAAGGAATACTAGCATTTTGGGGGGTCCCCTCAAAAAAGGAGCACCCTTTTGGGATTGGCCCCCCACCGAATAGGAGGATTGTGGCCCAACCCTTCTTCGCTTCCCTTTCTGTGTCATGTTGACCAAGAAGTAATCAACCCCCAGTGGATAGGGTGTATCCCCTTAAGAAACCATGGAAAACCCATTTGTTGGCAAAAAGTTAAAGTCCTGACATCCAAGCAAAATGCGGCAAAGGAAACCTTCACTCTGGGGGAAAGCATGGGAACCCCCAGCTGGATTCCTCACCAGTGACCATCAGCAGGGCTAGAGGTCAAGCCTCTAGGGCCAACTTCCACATTCTTTCCAGGGACCCTTCTTTCTAGAAAACCACCAAAGACTCTGGGGAAATGCCTGGTTTTTGAAAAGAACGATGGCTGAAAAGAATTGGGAATCAACCCCTAGAAAGCCGTGCTCACAGTTCCATGCACCCCGGCGGTTTGAAGCCGGGAGTGCACCCATTGCCTCACTTCCTGAGTGGATTTTGC